CATACATACATACCTAGATACATACATACATACATATATACATACATACATACATACATACATACATACGTACGTACGTACGTACGTACGTACGTACGTACGTACGTACATGCATACAAACATGCAAATACACATAAACCGACATAGACACTCACGTTGACATTGACATAGAATGTGCATACATCGAAATGAATCCATAGAGGAATGAATGAATGAATGAATGAATGAATGAATGAATGAATGAATGAATACATTCATATGTATATATATATATACATACATAGAAAAAGAACATAGAAAAAGTTTGAGACCCTTTTCTGTATTTGCATAATATACATTTATCTTTTTATGGTCACGTGCTCCCGCCCCTCTCCCCCCCCTTTGCCCACCCATGGTGCAGGTTGGGCCCCCCTCTGGGGTGCGGTGCGGGGTCCCTCTGCCCATGTAGGGTTGTTGTGGGGTTGTGGGGTTAGGGTTTAGCTTAGGCTGTTGAGTTTGGGGTATAGGGTTCAAAGTAAAAAAGTAGAAGGCTTCGAGTCGACAAGGGCTTAGGGAGAGTTTGGGGTGTAGGTACCTGCATTTAGTCGAGGTTTAGGGCTGGGTGTAGGGTCTGAGGTACAGGTTCAGGTTAATAAAAACCTGTGTAACTTGCGTCTGCTTTCAGGCTTTCTGGACCAAGATCAGCGACTGAACTGTGACATGCGCTTCTGGCACAGAACTGGCAAAGCAAGACATCAGCTTCCGGACGATTCATGTGTTTATTTGCACATGCCACAAAACACAGGGGGTCTTCACCTGAGCCACGAAGACCATCTGTGCCATCGTAAGACCGGCCAGGAAGGTTGGCGGCTGGGCGACGTCGAGGCCCAGGCTGTCGGGCATGAAGCTTTGAAGATGTGCCTGCATGTCCTCGGCTGGGACGCGTTAGGCCTTTGGGGCTCTAGCCTTGTGGGTGCCTTTCCAAATCGGCAACCGAAACGCCGCGAGAGCTTGAGCAGGCGAACTGCGACAGATTCAATAGAGTGCCTTCTTCTGTCCTGACACTGATTGGCTCTCCCACTCCCACTTGCCACACCGCCCTACCCCACCAACCTACATCGCACCAACACTTCTAGGAACACCACCACTACGTGGATCCCAGAGGACGTTTAGAGGTCTGACTCTTCTCGGACAGGTACTAGTAGGTTCCCGTCATACATGCTTTCATCCTTCCTTCAGGTCGGAGTCAACTGCAAAACCTCTTAGATCCGGCACTTCCGGTGCATTCGGGGCACCTAACAAACTAATTGGTACTTCGGACGCCTGGTCCTGAACTCCAGTATCCGAAAGTCCTATGATTCGGGCCCAGTTGACATTTCTGAACGACTTTGTGATGTCTTGTCTCAAGTTGACGAGGTGCATTGAATACGTGTGTTGAAACCCAGTACAGCATGCGGTCAAAAGGAAAGATATGCCTTGACAGAAAAGCTAGAAAAGCGAGCAAAAGAGCGAAGATCGTGGCAGTATCGGCTTTGTGTTCCTGGAAAGCCTCTAAGTCTCTGGGAAGCTGGGCCTAATATTCATAGATGGCCAAATGACGGCTCCCAGAGCTGTCGTCAAGGCCAAGAAAGCCAGCAGCATGCAGCTCCTGACAGCAAGGCCAAAGCAGACCCGAGAGACCCCCACATCGCCCCCACGAATCCCACATCTTCGCTTCTCCGCTCCAGCGGCCCAGCGGGCCCCCGGCCCCGCAGTGCAGGAGCAGAACCTGCGAAGCGGAGCAACTCTGAGCGCTCAAAATGTCACAGGCTCAAGGTCTCAGCATGGCTAAAACACCACGAGGCACCACGGCCGCTGGCAGCGCAAGCCCGCGCCGCATCAGCTGCCAGGCCGCATGGAACTTCGCAGAGCCCAGGACGCCTTGACGATGGCCATCCTTGCATCGTGGGAGCTACACAGGCACGGTGCAGTATGTAGGTTCCCAGCCGTGGGTACTGCCTTTGTTGCTCGGGGCGCTTGACGGCCGAAGATTCTAACATTTCAAGCCTCTGCGACTGCTGCGATTTCTGAGCTGTGGCTTGTACACGAAGCTAGGGAGGCTGCCTGCACAGCGGAAAGGCCTTCCGGCTGCGTATGCGGCAGTGAGATGACCAGGAGCCATAGGCCCGTGACAGCTGCGGAGGCCGAGAAGAAAGCCTCCTCTCAGCAGGCCCAGTGATGCTTGCATGAGACGCGGTCCGATGCGGTCTGTTTGCGGCACTACACTGCAGTTTTGCATGCAGGGTCGACGCCTGACACCGATTGTGCCTGCCTGCAGCTGGGGTTACTCAGGAAAGGCTGAGTTTGCTTTGGGTGCAACAAGTTTGAAGCCAAAAGCTTCGGAGGATCTGAGCCACACTAAACTCCAACAAGACCCAAGACCTCAATCAAATCCATCAAGCTCCTGCTGCAACAGCGGCCGCAGAGAGATCACGCAGGACAGCAACGCTGCTTCGGCGACGATACAGAGCAGCACCACAGCATTCATGCCTCTCGCACGAAATGGTTCGGAGCCGAATTAGGAATGCGTATGCCCGAGTGACGAACCTCTCAGAACCCATCATTTTATGCAGCCCCTGTGCTCACCGTGCCCAACAGCCACTGCCCATCAGCGCTTGGCAAACGCCTCCTTAGGGAATCATCTCTCGACAGCCTGGCCTGTCACCCGCAAGTGCAGCGGCGCCGCTGCACTGGCAGTCGCCTTGACATCTCAGATTTCAGCTTGAGGTGTTGGCGAGACCAGAGGGGTTCGGAACGGATCCAAGTTCTTTCAACCGCAAACCCCGGCTTCTGTGTGCCTCGCTCCGGCAAGGGAGGCCCCGCAACGCGAAGCAGCCGACGACGACGAGGGCGAAGGCCAAGAGTACATACTGAAATGGCAACGTGGTCCTGTTGAGTGGGTGAAGCTTCAAGGCGGGCTTCGCGGATGTGAATTTCTGGTCAACTGTGGTGAAGGATCCGGGCCTTGAGAATAAAACAGAACCTAACAGGCTTTCAAACCCGGAATGCATATCTGGCACCCTGAAGCCTTGCACCGAGATGTGCTGAAAGCTCATTCCGCGATCCGCTGCACAGTAGGCGATATACTCTCTGCAAGACACCCAAACGATCGCCCTGCGGCCGCGGATCCAGGGAAGTGCGCAGAGTAGGAGCCAAAGAACAATGCGGATGACAAAGGGTCCGACCTGCCGCCGGGAGTCATGGGCACTGTCTTCCGGGTGTGGCTTAGCTGAGGTTTCGCAGCTTGGAGTTTGCGGTTCCTGTATTACAGGGAAAGCTTGAGCGGCGCGACGGAATTGACGTCGGGTTTCCGGCCCACGGACACCCATGCAGCTGACGACATCGACATTGCGAGAGAGCAAGTAGGCCTGTGAATGACTTGTTGCTGTGTTGAACGTTGTTGGTTGTCACGTTCCCTGGCTCTGCACTGCACCAGTTTGCGCTGCGATTTGCTCATCTCATCGGCCGACAGCTTGGTCCAAGGTTTCATTGATCAGCGTACCGTTTTGTCTTTGCTACTCCGTGCGGTTGAGGCTCGGAGTACTGCGAAAGATAGAATCACATTGTCATGTCCGACCTACAGCTGCATGCATACATTCCCTGGCTGCATGAAAAGCGACTTCAACAGTTGCGAACCCTAAACCCTAAACCCTTGCAAGATTGTCTTCAACTTCGCCACAAGGAAGCTGGAGCTTTGGGTCTGTAACTCCACTAGGCCTCGGAGGTTAGCTTGACAAAAAGGATGAGGAGCTTGTGAACCCTACCAACCCTAATCGCCTCAACCAACCCTCGGACTGGTTGACAGTCGTAAGGCGCGGGGTCCGAGTTTTCTTTCAAACTCGATCTGTTCCGCCGTTCTGCCGATGCCTGCTGTTGCTGCTTCTGCTTTACACTCGCAGCACACCTTTTGGGGATACACCTGATGCCCGTGAACCTGACTCACCGATTCTGCGCGCTGCGGCCAAAGTTTTGACAATGGTGTCAGGTTTGGAGCGCTGGATCTGCCTACGACCTACGAAGAAGCGCACACAAAGCCACAGATCCTAAGCTACGACAAAATGTCAAACACAAATCTATCCGCATATGCCGGAGCCCCGGAATCATCACAAACTCGTGTTGAAACCTCCAAATCATCCGAAGCTCTGCAACTCACTTCCCGACCCGCCTCCAAGCTGTAGGCCGGAAGCAGCAATGCGCAGACGGCCGCATGGACCAAGGTCTTGTAGGTCTTCCAGAGCGTCCTGAGACTTCGAATCTTGTGACCTAAACCCTAAAGTCGCAAAGGCCTGAACCCGAAATCCTACATCCCAAGCCCACAACCCTTCCCCCTTGAGACCGTCCCAAGGCTCAGGAGCAAGAGGAGCTCCCACCAGTGCCGGGCGGCCTCGGACAAGGCCGTGAGCGCTGCACCACGGACCTCGCGGAGAGTGCTACCTGAAAGCCGAAGACGGAGGGTTGAGCCTGTAGGGTTTAAGCGATTTTAGGTGCAGCTTCAGGGTTTGGTGCAGGGTTTTGATTAGGAAGGTTTGGGTTCTGTGAGTTGAATGCAGTTTAGGGATCGGGGTTTAGGGATGCAGGCTTTTTATATTCAGGCCTGAGTTTCAGGACTTGCAGTGTAAGACAAAAGCGGTCTAGAGATCTCCAAGCTAAGCCACAGTGCAGGAAGGCGTTCTGCAAGAACTCCATGGTTCGGACCTAAGGGATCGGAAGCAGATTTCAAACAACGAAGCTTACGCTTCCTTGGCCACTGGTCCAGAGTCTAGAGGTCAGGGCTCGTGGTTGGGGTCTCTCTGCAGACATGCAAAACACAAAAACACACACACACACACACTTTTTAGCGAGCGAGGTGCTAGCGTGACCATGGCCAGGATTGCAGCAAGTACAGTAGTACAAAGCATCCAAACGTCCCAGGCCAGCAGCAGCACCTGCTTCAGGTGTTGGGACCCGGATCCGAATGTGGGCCACTGAAGCAGCCCGCAAAGGTCTGAATGGGTTCACAACAGCTCATGAACGAGACGGACCCAAAAGCCTACCTTACCATAGGCCCGAAAACACAGCAAGAAGCAGCACGCCTGGCATCTCAGCACGGCCCTGACACGGTGAATCAGGTCCGAATGACGATCCTTCGCATCAATTGTTGACGCTCGGCTCGGGATTGGCTCGAGCTTGTGTCATCGGCTACTTCAAACACAGCTCAATGTTGGCTTGTATAAGATCCTGTACCTGCAAGCTGGAAAGCTCGGCCTAAACCCATTTTAACCGTGCCGCCGCCCTGTTACGAGAAGGTGGTCCTAGTATTTCTTGCTGAATGGCCTCGAGCCCTTTAGAATCCACAGACCGTCTTGGCAGCCCCTGCTCTGTTCTGGCGTGTCCTTCGAAAAAATCTGGCTGTTTGTGAATGACTTAAGCCTATACCGATACCCCAAAAGGAGTTGAGTGGTTTGGCCGCCGTAGACGGCGAGGGGTGGGTGTAGTTGTGGGATGGCCCTCCAAACCTCTGACCCGAAACAATTTACCTAAGCCCAAAGGCCCTTGCCGGCCGTATACTCCCTTTATTGCCCAGAAGCCCGTCCTGGAAGACCCCGCGCAGGACCTTCGGCACGCGGTAGACGGACACCCTGGGGAGGCTTTTTGTTTTGAGTGCCATTTTTTCGTCTGCAAGTAGTTGGAGAGCCTGGATGAGGAAGGCTAGACACTCCGGCATGTTTCGCGTCTGGGGCTGAAGGGTTTCAGGACTTCAGGGTCACAACTTGGAAGCCACCAAAGGCGCAGCTCAACAAGGACTACAAAGCGAGCTGGAGCTGCGGTCCCCTGCCAGCCAGGGTGCAGCAGGAGCACTGCCAGAGCAAGCGTGAGGTAGTCTTTCACACCTCACCCACTCATGCACTCGTGCACAAAGAGGCCGAGAACCCGAGAACTCGCCAACCCCGACTGCGGCCTTCGGCGACAAAAATCTGCACCAAGCGCCGCAGCTCCGGCAGGGTTTTGCCGCAAAGGCCACACCTCCAAACTTCCCCGACCATGTTGATGGTCCCCCTTTAGCAAACCCCAAACCGCGAGAGGCCGAAGGCCCAAAACGTCTGCCCTGACCATTTGCCAGCTCCGCCTCCCAAACTCCGCATCCGCCGCGCGTCGGAAGTCCAAGCTCTCTGCCTTCTGCGGGTCTTTTCCCCTCCCCAAAGCGGCTTAGCTGGGCCAGCTAGGCTTTTGAGATCCGTAGGGCTTGAGGGTTTCACAAGGGCCCTTGAGTTGCAGAGTTCAGGGCTCTGGGTTCTCAGAGGGGTGCTCTGAGGTTCGAGGGGGTTCGAGGAGAAATCCGGTGCTCTGAGGTTCGAGGGTTTCCATGGCAGAGAACCCCAAGTTCCGGGCTCCTGCTTCGGAGCGAAGACATTGAGCATGACTACGCATAGCACCATGCATCGCTGCAAATACCCGCTGCGATCGAAGCGTCGCCGTGCAACTGCCATGCGGCCGAAAACGCTCGTGATTCTTGCCACTGCCGAACGTTCAATGCGGAAGCAGTGCTTGTGTTAGATCTTGAGGCCGGATTGTATGCCGTACTGGCTTGCTGAACACACAGAGCTGTACAACTCTTCCGGAGCTCCGCATAGCTTCACGTGGCCACACACGACTTGCGGCACGGTGCCTCCCATCATATGCAGAAGACGCAGCACATCCTCCGTGCCAAAGCCCCCGGCTGTGCCTTCAGCTCGTCCATGGATGTGTTTGACAGCTGGTCTGCAGTCGACCTGGGCATTAAATAGGACAGGACTCAGAGAGACTACCTCGAATGCCAAACGTGGAAGGTTTACAGTTTGGGGTCCGATCGACACGCGACGGCCAAGGGACTGTGCCTCCGCGATCATCAGAAGAGCCAGTGCGTGCTCCTGTTGCAGTCCAAACCCGAGACAGTGGAGACAGTCGAGACGAGACACCCGAGACACAGAACGAGACGCGGAGCTCCTCCGGCTCGAAGGCCCGGTCGGCCAACTGCATGTTGGCGCCCAGGGTAAGGGACGGCCAGTAACTGGCGACTGCATCTTGCAGAGAGGAGAGTGACCGCAGCTTCTCGACAAAACCAAAGGACCTGAAGCTCCGGATGCTTCATAAGGACGTTCAGGGTGTCTAAAGCAATGACGGAACGACATTGGGGCTAGATTTGAGAACGTTCATGCCTTCTCCACGGGGATGGAAGCCTCTCACAGACCCGGCAACCTGCTAACACCCCGAAGTCATCAAGCCAAGGGACGTCTGCCCGTGACGCTGCAGCTCCAAGATCAGCGCGCGCTCCTTGCCCTGGCTCGGCAGTGGCGTCCGGGCTTGCTCTTGTGCGACCACCTGGGAGCTTCAGAAGGTGTGAGGCCTTCATCTACACTCCATGGGATTTAATAGGATGCTTCACCTGCAAACCCCAGGCAAGGACCCCTACTATCCAGAAGTTCCATAATGGAAATGGTAGGTTCCTGCACCACTTCGTAAAACACCCAAACATTACTGGGTTCTGTGCCTGTGTTACTGCTGTTATTCTATTGTATCTTTCGTCATCTTGGTTGTCGTCGTCATCGTTGTCGCTGCGGTTGTGGCTGTGGTTGTGGTTGCGGTTGCGGTGGCGGCGGCGGTGGTGGTGGCATGGTAGTGGTTTTAGCGGTGGTAGCGGTGGTAGTGGTGGTAGTGGTGATAGTGGTGGTAGTGGCAGTAGTGGTGGCTGTTGTGGCTGCTGTGGCTGCTGTGGTCGCTTTCGTTGCTGGGGTGGTTGCTGGTGGTTGCTTCTGGCGGGTTGCTGTTGGCTGGTTGCCGGTGGTTGCTTGCTGGTGGTGATAAGTAGCAGTCGTCGTCGCCGTCATCGAAGTGGTAGTGGTAGTGATGGTAGTACCGGTGGTAGCAGCCGTCGTCGTCGTGGCGGTGGTAGTGGT